GCAGGGAGGGGACAGTGGCAGTGGCTCAGGATGTCCCCAGGGCCACACCTCGGTCCAGTTTGCTGTGGCGCTCCAGGAAGGCGAACCAGTGGTGGCCGGTGGCGATGGYGTCCCCCTCGCCACTCGGGATGTCCTCGCGGCACGCGGACTTGAGCTGCTCCAGGTCCTCGGCCGTGATGTTCTGGGCCAGCTCGTCCAGCAGACTGCGGTACTCGGCCATGGCTGGGGACACAGGGGACACAGGGGACATCAGGGTGACATCAGTGACATGGGGACATGCGGGGGTATCAGGGACATGGGGACATCAGGGACATGGGACAGCGACACGGCTGTTCTGGGCCAGCTCGTCCAGCAGGCTGTGGTACTCGGCCATGGCTGGGGACACAAGGGACACGGGGGACATCAGTGACACCAGGGTGACATCAGGGACATGGGGACATCAGGGACATGGGACAGGGACACAGCTGTTCTGGGCCAGCTCGTCCAGCAGGCTGTGGTACTCGGCCATGGCTGGGGACACAGGGGACATGGGGGACTTCAGGGTGACATCAGGGACATGGGGGGACATCAGGGACAGCAGGGACATGGGACAGGGACATGGCTGTTCTGGGCCAGCTCGTCCAGCAGGCTGTGGTACTCGGCCATGGCTGGGGACACAGGGGACACGGGGGACATCAGGGTGACATCAGGGTGACATCAGGGTGACATCAGGGACATGGGGGGCATCAGGGACATCAGGGTGACATCAGGGTGACATCAGGGACATGGGGGACATCAGGGACATGGGACAGGGACACTGCTGTTCTGGGGTACTTGGCCATAGCTGGGGACACAGGGGACATCAAGGACTTGGGGACATCAGGGATATGGGGGACGTGAGGGACATGGGACAGGGACATGGGTGACACGAATGCTCCCGCTTTCAGCTGCCCGTGTCACAACTGTCCCCAGCCTCCTTCACTGGTGTCACAAATGTCCCCAGGCTCAATCCCCACTGCCAGGCCCGGTCCCAGCCTCAGCCACCTGTGTCACATCTGTCCCCAGACTCAGCC